AGGTCCAGGAAGCCCGGCGCCACCACGGCGCCGCCCAGGTCGATGCGCTCGACGCCCTCGGTGCGGTAGTAGTAGTTGGGCGTGATGCAGCCCGTCTCCGGCGAGAAATACAGGTCCTGGGGCACCAGCTCGCCGGCCAGGCAGAGCTGGCAGTTGGTGAAGCAGCAGAGGGTCGGGATGCTGCCGGCGGTGGGCGGTTGGTGGGTGGACATTTTTGTTTTCTTTTTCTTTTATTTCTTTCTTTTGGTTAGGGGTGGGATGGGAGGAAGTTGGGAAAGATTGGAGATATGTAACTTGGAGTGATAAGTTATAACTTATAAGTTATAACTATGGGCGGTTATTATATAATCCTTGGCATGCTCAATTCGAATGGAGTCAGTTGGTGCTCTTCGGGCATTATGGGTATTGTAAGTGTCTACAACGCACTGACCGAGTGGATATGTCTTCGACTAGAAGTATCCTGAGTTCCAGAACCCAACTTCGACTCCAACCCAGTCCCAGACCCATATTCAACCATCTATCCTCACCCTTTTCGAGGTCGCTGGTTGTGACTGCGGCTCCAAATTCGGTGCTCTCTCAGTTATTGATCCAGCACTTCTAGAATCCTGCTCTGACACCATCGTCTCGTCAAAATTGGTCCTTCCAAACAGCTTCTGCGGCACCCTGAGCCTCGCCACACGCCCTTCAAGCCCCTCCTCCTCCTCCCCCTTCGCAAACTCCAAAAACCCCATCTCCTTGATAATCCGATTCATCGTTCCATCATCCAACAAACTCTTCTCCGCTCTTCGCAGTTCCACATTGCTCATCTCCTTCCTACGCTTCAGCATCCGATCCTCAAGCGTTCCCCTCAAAACCAACGTCTCTACATACACCGGTTTGGTCTGTCCAATCCGATGTGCCCGCTTGATGGCCTGAGCCTCAATGTTGGGCTGCCAGATCGGGTTGACGATGTATACACGGTTGGCGGCAGCAATGTGCAGGCCGTGTGAGGCTTGTCGGATGTCCATCAGGAGGATACGGATGGCCGGGTTGGAATTGAAAAGAGAGAGGTACTGTGAGCGCAGGGTTTGGGGAAGAGTGTTGGCGTAGATCAAGAAGGAGAAGGAGAGAAGTTCCAAGGCTTCGGCTAGCCAGAAGGCAACGTTGTTAGTGTCGTAGAAGACTATGATTTTGCATGTCGGTTGGTGCAGGGAGATTTGGTCCACGAGGTAGCTGAGTTTGGCGGAGGAGAAGCCGATGATCTTGGTGTTCCGGAGAGGTGAGTCGGGTGGCAGAGATGGTGGTTGTGAAGAGTTATTGAGTCGAGCACGTTTGGAGGCAGAGCTGTCTGCTAAGCTTGTGATCCTCTTTCGTTTCGTTTGGTCCTTGATCTTCGGCTCCTCGATCAGCTGAGAGCCCGCCACACGGTTCTTGGCTGCTGTCCTGTCCTCATCGACTGCACGTTTGCGGGCTGCTTGCATAGCCCTGAGTCCAGCTCCAGGAAGTCCTTCCATCGGATCGTCATCTCCCACATGTTCTTCAACGTATTTCTGGGCTGCTCTGGCTTGGACAGTACCAAGAAGCAAGGGCTGCGAGGGTTGGCCAAGTGCCCAAGTCTCAGCCGCCTGCTCTGGGAAGTCGTCCACGATAACACCGACCTCGTGCAAAGTAGAGAATGCAAGCCAACCAGGATCGTTGACAGCTCGTTCTCCAGCCTCAACAGCGCTCATGAGGAGACGTCGGTCAGTTGCTGAGATGGTCTGAGCATTTTCCATCAGATACTTCTTACTGATCCGAACAGGCTCCTCAACATCGTGTTTCTTGAAGCCGACCCAGTGAAAGCTCGACTGTCGCAGATTACTGATAAGGAGATCTAGCTGTCTTCGGTTCTTTGGGTGAAACATGTAATCTTCGTCTGATCGTTCCGAAGTGACTGCATTGGACACGAGAACTGTGTTGAAAAGATTAATTGATAGCTTGTCATAGAATGACGGCTCAAGATAAACAACTTGGTTGTGTAGTGGAGGCAGCGAAAGATCGATCTCGATGTCTTCGATGGTATGACGAACAATAATGCTTTCGAGAAGGCCACGTAAGCCGGTTACATTTCTTCGCCTCCCTTTGTTGTCGAACGGCGATAAATACCTCGACCAACTGGCATGATCAGACCCAGGCATGTTGGCCCATGGCTGTACCTTCAGAAATCTGGTGATGATCATCCTAAGCTTGTCAAGATCTCGGCTTTCTCGATCCAAGACATCACTCCGGCGCCGCTTTTGAAGTGTATGCTGCAGATCATTGTGCGCCGCTCCCTTGTCTGAAATCGTTTCATTTGCAGCCAGTCCCACCTCCACGCCACGAAGAGAGTTAGATGGTGTTCCTGACACTACCCATCGGCGGTCGAAGTACATCTTTTCAAGCATCGCCATAGCATTGGTACGAACCGCTGCCGTACTAGCAAACCCTACTCCTTCGTCCAGAATGACGCGAAGCCATCGGAGGTCAGTAAGTGGTGACTGATACTGTTCACCAGCTCTCGGCCGTTTGCCGGTGTTCAGGTCATCGTCCCGGTATTCTTGATCAAAGCGACCTTTGGTGATCAAAACAACATCGTAATCCGTCAGTTGGTCACGATGAGGGATGGCCTTGCAAGTATGATCGAGGACAAGCACATCAAGCGCACCGGCCTCTGTATGCTTCTTGATCTCCTGCTGCCATTGAACCAACAGATTTGGTGGAACGATGATCAGGTTCGTTGAGCATAGTCTCACACTCTTCTCAGTTCGCCGCTTGCCATTTCGATTGGGCGTTTGAGGAGTCAAGAGACGCTCTGTGTACTCTTTGAAAGAAGATCGGAGCATGTCAAGGCATCTATCGTGATGAAAGCCGCTCATGGCAAGATCATGGAATTCAACCTTCCAAGGCACAGCATCGTCAATGATTTTGGCTACCGCCATTTCAGCTAAGCTTGCCACTTCCAGACGCGCTTTCCTTGGTATTCCTAATCGATCCTCCGGCATACGGGAGTAATGCCCTTTGGTAGCTGATATAACTGCAAGGCATATGAGAGTCTTCCCATAGCCCATAGTCTCCGCTAAGATGCCTCCTCTTGGCTCCTCATACAATGGAGGTTGTAAAAGCAAAATGCCTTCCTCCTTGTCGTAGTAGAACGACTGACCAGTGGGCCCGCAGAAGCAAGGCTTCCGTGGATCTGGTGATCTTTTGGGAGACGTTTCTCTCTGAATCATCATGGCTGCTGATCGTTGTTGGTACGAGTACAGCAAAGTCTGAAGTCCAGCCACCGAATTGTCAAAAATATCTTCCATTGCTCGTCTGGCATGGACATCAACAATCTTCTCGGCTAAGGGTGCGGGTGAGGGTAACGTATTGAACAGATAGAAGAGTGATTCTTGCTCTGGACAGACCAAGTAAGACTCGAAAGCAGTATCAGGACCCCAATCGCCATTCCAAGCAGATTTCGATTTGTCCACATAAGTCAATATGTGCTTTAGAAGCCTCCTGCATTCGAGTAGGGAGCTTTTGCGGATAAATCGTCCCATATTTTCAGCATTGACTAAGATTCGGACAGAATAATGGCCTGCATGACTCTGGTTTGCCACGACATCTGTCTCGATCCAGCCTCGCTCGATCAAGGCATCGATCTTAGTCCCTGGAAAGGGAGTGCTTGCATGAGGTCCGCCAACGCAAAGACAACTGTCAAGTTCCAAGACGTCTAACTCTAGGCACTGATAGACTCTGATCGTTCCCAAATCAAGGGGAGTGGTCGGTTCCTTAATCTCTGGTGGTCGGTCGAGTGAAAATGCTGAAGAGGTCGGACAACAACTTTCTTGAAGTTCCCCTAGCATCTGACCCATGATTTCTGGCGATGTTGGCAGGGAAGCACTTCCATCATAACTGGATACGGAGGAGGAATCAAGAGGAGTACATTCGGACTCTGACGGGTGAAGAAGGGACATGGTACGTTATAAAGTCTTCGAGGACTTCTTGCAGTGATCAGAAAGGTTATTTCAGCGTATCGACATATACTCCCTATCATCAGGGGTCAGATGAGGCCAAGACTTTCTTCATCAGGCACCTCTGTAGAGGTAGCGTCTTTGTGGGGATTCTTTGAAAGAGACAGCGAGGGGCAAAGTTATTCTTTCATGCCTTGAATGTGAACCAGTGGCCTTCAGAGCATGTCAACACTTCAAGAAACAGTTGTTGAAGCAAGGTCATGGCTCTTGTTACATATCTCGATGTCTCGATATCTCGATATCTATGGTGGCCGGTCCAGACCAACACCGCATGTCTCCTGTTTTAGGCAGCTGCCGATGTTCTGGTGAGTTCGGCGCAGACAATCCATCCCTGACCGGAGGCTGTTATATAACCAGACTTTACATCTTCCACGCCAAAGTTTACTGTATTAAATCACTTGAGATGGAGAAAACGGTTATCCGACAGCAGAAATATTGTGATTGTCAGGCTAGAGATATCTTGGTAACCGATTTATGCGCATAGCCAATGGCATTTCCAACCGTCTTAGGCCGGATAGCAAAAGGCGTCCTCTGTAGGACAACGTCCCGATTGATGGCGGATCAACTTTGCTATCTGTTCGGAGTTCTCTTCTCGTTATCATCCTGGTCACCAGCTGATCAGGCTCGCAACCCGGACAACAAGAAGAGAGAAAAATTTTCATCGACTGTTCCGCGCGCGCACATCCTCTGATTGTCTCCGGCCCAACATCCCCTCCCTACAGTAGCAGCACAGAGGTGACTCCGGCGCAGTCGAGGAAGGTGCGAGGGCCAGAAAGACGAGTACGCTAGCAGCAGCAAGAACGGTCGGCCGTCCATCGGCTCTGAACCGGCAAGGACCACGAGAAGCAAGAAAACTATCATCCATCACAAGACGCTCTTCGTCGCGATATGGTGATCGGCGACTTATGTTCCACTCCATCACGCGACTCATAGACAGTGCCACAACGTCCGTTCCGAGTAACCAGACAAAGAGCTAAGGTCAAGAGAAGGGGCAAGGAAGGAAAGCTAGTACGCTCGACGCAAACACCATGTCATCTCCCACCACTGTACATAGACTTATCCAAGAGAAAGAAAATTATTCGACTGTTCGCATGTCTCTGGACCAATGTCCGGATGCAGAAGTGGAAGAGAGTAAAAAATACACACAGCATGTCTCATACAACATCATATCCTATGCTCGGCCACCCAGCGGCCCGCAAGTCATTAAGTCTTCCGATCAATCGGAAACAATCCTTGCCTTCTACTCATTCTTAGTGCTCGTGTCTCATCGCTTATAATCTGGATAGACCTCGGCATGACTCGAGACTCTGTTGTGGCCGCCCTTGGTCGCCTCTTTTCGCAAAGAGGAATCGTAGTTTCGTTGGCCAGCAAACCCAAGCTTGTGCTCCGAGTACGCATCTTCTCCTGTCGAATTAGATCTTGTATACTCGGGCGCTGGGCCCAGGCCGCCGCTTGCAGGGCGTTCGGGATGGTATGTGTCCAAGGCAATGTCTTGGAAGCCGGCTCGGTTGCTCTGGTAGGCGTCACCAACTCCACCCTCAGCTCGTGTCTTGTCTTTGCCGAACCACAAAGTCAATGCTCTGATGATGCCGATCAGAAGAATGGCCACCCAGATGAGTAGTACAACAGTGGAGATCAAGGCTTCAGTTCTGATTCCATCCTCGATGCGATTGGTCATACGCACGACAATCGATGAAATCTTGTCCTTGGCTGCATCACCCGGCTCGGAAAGAAAAGATTCAGCCTTTGGGTCATTGGCGGAGGCAATTGAGGCCACTGCGCCCAGGCTGAATGTGTCGTTGGCCATAAGGGGAAAGTCAATGCGCGCGTTCTCAGAGACCCAAGTGAGTGCTTTTTGTATGCCAGCCACTTTGAGGAGCACAAGACAGTTTAGGACTTCTTTGATAGGGTCGTAGAGGACTGTACCACCGAAGGTGTCGTTGAGAACGCCTGAAACGCCGTCAACGAAAACGTTGAGAGTGTCGTTGACTGCACCGGTGGTAGTGTTGACCCAGCCGAAGAGATTGGAGTTGATGTCCTCATTTGTCGCAGCGATGGCCTTGTTGGTACCGATGGCCCATTGCTCACTTGCATTGTTGAGCGAGGTGACGACTTGATCGGCAAACGCACCGACCTGACTGGCGAGGTTGGGTACTTCCCTCTCCAGCGCTCTCAGCATGACTGCTTGGCAAGCACACGAGAACAGGCCTGCCACACCAAGTGAGAGGACAAACAATGCCGGAGTTGAAGTCGCGTAAGCAATCACCCATCTTGTCAAGATCTGTCGGCGAGGCGATTTGAACCGGTTAGCCACTTTGATACCGGTAGATGACGTGTAAGGTCTGCTGACGATGTAAACCACATCCATCGGGTCGTGAGCGTTCGAATGGACGAGTTGGGAGCGTTCTTGCATCGTTCGCCAGCGTTTGATTTCACGCCAAGCCATAGGGATGCAGATCAGGATGGCGGCGGTCAAAAGTACACCAAGGAAGATCGTGCGAGCGACATGAGCAAGGTTCAGCAGATCATCGAAAAAGTTGTTGATGCTGTTGTTGTCACTGCAAAATGTGAGTTGCTCTCTCTGAGGTACCGGGAAAACCGAACGATCAAAAGTGTAGTTGCCCATTGCATTCTTCATCAGCAGCTTTACTTCCTTGAATGGCAATCGAATCGCATTGTCCGTGAAGTTCTGGACCTCGGCAAAGGTCGGAATCGAGTTGTTCAACTTGTCGAGGCCTTGACTTAAGTCTCCAGGGAGTTTGAGGTTATTCAAGGAATCAATTTGTTTGCTAAGATCAAGCTCAGGTGGATCGGCCGTGTTCAGGAAGCCAAGAGAGACTTTGTCGAGGGCATCAATGAAACTTTTATAGGTATCCTCAAAGCCTTGGACTGCCTTGCCCATGTCCTCGCCGATACCGTCGATTGCTTTGTTCAGTGCATCCTGAGCGTCCTCGACTACCTTCAGTGCAACGTGAAGACTTCCGCCGACAGCAAGGGTGATCAGGCAGACGTATGTCGAGGTCATCATGTTAATGACAAACAAGACAATCTCTTCGACGCCCGTCACGCTCATTGTTGTCATTTCCATAAGGCCATTGACGGCTCTTTCCACGCCAGTGGCAGTCAACTCATTCACGCCTTGTGCCATGTAATGGGGCATCGATGCCATGGCGCTTCCCATCGATTCGACACTGGAACATGCAGAGAGTGCTTCTCGTCGAGCGGAATCGAGGTCGTTCTTGAGGCCGGAGACAGCTATGAGGCTTCGAGCAAGGACGAGGAGGAGCAGGATAGTCCATCGATTGATCCAGACTTGTGATAGACGGGCCCGGAGGCCGAGATAGGGTGTGATGGATGGTGCTGTGTATGGTGTAGGTCGTGGTGGGTCTTGGTTGGAGTAGTAATTTTGCATCTCATGACTGCCAGCAGGCATGGATGGAGGTGCTGGTCGGTTCGACATCGCTGTGGTCGAGGCAAGGAAGTTTCTAAGCGCAGACATCGAAGGCATGAGTAAGCTGGCCAAACCGAAGTATGCTTGCAAAAGGTTCAATGATTGAGTGAAGCTAGAAACTGTGGTGGCATTAAAGACCGAGAGGGCGAAGCAAGAATTCACAGCACCAGGCGCGAGATTGACTGTAGGAATATAAATAGACAAATAGAAGTGACTGGAACAAAGGAGACTCGTGGTGATACACAATGAATGAGAGTAATAGATGGTGGTCGAAGTTCACAGTCAATTGTGCTATTCAACAAAGAGAGGGACCGCGTAGCGCATTGTAGTCTGAATGCCTGGCCTGAATGAATATGAGATCTAAACATACCGCAAATTTGCCCTCCCCACAGCCAGCGGCTCGACCAGCGTGGTCATGTACAAACAAGCAACACTGCTCGGAATGGATTGTCGTTTCAGGTCGCATGCCTTGACATGACTGGTTCGTCCTCAGGTGGTCGCCAAGACTGACGATAGTTTTTTGTGCAGTGGTTATCCTTCCAGGGCGCGTAACCAGCCCAAAAATAGCGGCCACCTGCCAGGGAAGCTGCGAGCCAGTGCTTCGCTCCATACGACTCGCGCTTGTAAGCACCGTTCATAGTAAGAACGATCAATTTTCGCTGTGTCGCGTAGAGTGAAGGGGAAGATGTAAGGCTCACGAGCTCCTCTGGGTTGCTGCTTTATCCCACTGTCGCAGCTGTCGTGCAACTGGATCCACAGAACCACTCAATCAGTCATCTTCTGTACGTTCTTTTGACTGGATTGACGATCGCGTGTGTCCCAAGATCCAGTTGCACAACTACTTTTGATCAGGGCCGACGAGTGAGGAGGCACAAGAGGAGCAACAAAGACGAAGTGCCTACCTGCGGATCAAGAGAAGAGCCTCCGACCACCCCTCCCTTTAACTAATTACTACGTAGTATGTAAGAGCTGGGCTCTCTTCAGGTCTAACCCGGTTAAGCTGAGAGTTGTGGCAAAGCCATCCAAAACGGGGGTTTCCAGCCACACTTTGCTAGTACTAATCATTAGACTCTTCCTTGGAACCATCCCTGTTGCTGGGCTCTAATTCTTTGCATCATAGTGATGAGCAAGTCTAGCCGCAAAATCAGTCTTAAGATTGCTTCCTCTCAGCAGAGGCTCAATGACGATGCCCCTATCATCCCTACTGAAGACTTGAATTGGGTGACTTGTTGCTGACGTACAGTACTAGGACAAAAGTATCGGACCAACCCCACTTTCAGACCCCACCAACATTTTGGACCATCTTCATACAATTTACCATAGTAAGTTACCAACTTGATGGATTCTGATGAAAAACGGCTCAGAATGTTCAGAAACATCCAGAGATTGAGGCTGGGCTATTTTCCTAAATAGGCAGTCGATATTCAGAATCTGGTGTACCATCCTTTAGCCGCAATGACCGTATTCACTCGACTATCCATACTCTTGATGAGATTGGCCACAGCTTCTTCTCCTATAGCATCCCAACCCTCATAAATTGCTCTGAACAGACGTTGATAATCCTCCTCCGATTTGCCCATATTAATTAGCTCTGGATGGTGATCATTGATCCATTGCTTGAGTTGCGCCCAGAGGTGTTCAATTAGGTTGAGATCAGGACTATAGGCTGGCCATTCCATCAATTCTATGCCCTCCTCTTGAAGCCAATTGATAATCTTCTTTGCAGTATGGATTC